GCTGCGGCGCTGATCCTGCACATCCTGCAAGAGAGACTTCACTGAACATCCCGCTCCTTCTGCTCCCCAACAGCAAGGGCCCCGGCTCAGCAAGCACCACCCCAGGGGCAACGCTGCACTCAGCATCCGCACAGTGCCCGGGCAGGGGCAGGCTGCACAGCCCAGAAAACCAGCTGTGAACTTGAAGCGAGATGCACTCGTGAGTGGACATAACTGTGAGCTGCCTGCAAGAGAGACTTCACTGAACATCCCGCTCCTTCTGCTCCCCAACAGCAAGGGCCCCGGCTCAGCAAGCACCACCCCAGGGGCAACGCTGCACTCAGCATCCGCACAGTGCCCGGGCAGGGGCAGGCTGCACAGCCCAGAAAACCAGCTGTGAACTTGAAGCGAGATGCACTCGTGAGTGGACATAACTGTGAGCTGCCCCAGGGACAGAGCTGCAGGTCCTGCTGGAGACCTGCTGCTTTACCTGAGCAATTCCAGCAGGGTCAACAATTGGCACCAGACAGTCTAGGAAATAACAGGCAGTTAGCACCACGAATGGAGTAGAGTGAGAAGGTAAGTGACAAACAAGCAAGGGAAACTATTATGGGCATCTTGGGTAAGTCAGCGTTAATCAGGCAGAAGGGAAACGATCCAGAGGTGAGGGATACAAGACAGAGGAACACAGCTCTCCACAAGAGAAAGGCCAGAAGCAGCAGCTTGGCTATTAACAGTAAGCAAAGCATCTGCCTTACCAGCATTACTCTGTCCATGGCATGAAGTAGTTTAAAGAGAGAAGTCTTGCACCAAGGCTGCGTTCCTCAGGCCTGAACACACACTCATGCACAGGTTCCCACCACACCCTTCCTGAACCTCAGTCCCTGAATCCAGGTGAGGTTTTCTGCTTCACTGGTGCTCCCTCACATGCAGCAGCAGTCTCTGGGGTTGCTGCAAAAGCCTCTGGGGCCAGACTTCCTTTTGTGGGTCAGTGCTGCCAAACACAAGCACAGCCAACCTATCACCACCCGGGGACCTGTGTGTGCAGCTGCCTGCTCCTCACGCCATGTGGCTCTCATCCTGCCCCTGGCACAGACCCTGCAGATGAGCCAGATGCCTCCCCAGGAGCAGCTCAGTTTCCACTTCTGTTTTGGTAAAGTGCCACAGAAAGCCTGGGGAGACCACTTCCTCCCCATCCAGTGCAGCAGGTACCTCTTGTGCTCAGAGTAGCAGCAAGACAGGTCAGGGACCTGCTGCTGGAGGACACTGGAGAAGGGACAGACCTGCACAGGTCAGCCAAGCTAAGAGCAGTCCACCTTGTAAGGTGAACAAATCTAGAGCACCTGGTGTCTCAAACAGCCCCTCCTGCTCTGGCCACCATCCTTTGGGAGAGATGGACTAAATCCAGGGCAGAGCCAGGACTGCAGGGAGCCAAGGTCCCTGGAGGCTGAGGAGTGCTCGTGCACAGCACAGAAGGACATACTGGCCCATAGCATGGGCTGAGCAGCGCTGGGATGAAGAATGGTGGAAAGCTAACTGTGGGGATGTGCAGCAGAGGGGCTGGCAGGGGCTGCAATGGCCCCAGTGGGAACAGGGCAAGGACCACACAGAGAAGGACACTGCACAGCCATGCCTTTGGCAGGGATGAATGTCATGCTAGACCACGCTCCTGTGCAGTGACACAGGCGGGAGCTGAGGACAGACAGGATCACAGGTGCCCCTGGGGACCCTGCCGTGGTTGCTGAGGGCTGTAGCAGTTCTTTGGCAGGGTCCTCTGCACAGCTGTCCCAGGCTGGTGGGACACATCAGCTCCTTACCCTTCAGCAAGGGAAAGCCTGCGAGGGACTAAGGCTCAGCACGCAGCACACAGGACCATCCCGTCTCCCACCTTGTCCCGACCGTATCTCCGGAGCAGCCGGTAGGGCCAGACATAGAGGATCTCATTTGTCCGCGGGTCCTTCAGGACAAGGCTGTCGCGCTCGGCCTTGAGCAGGTAGGTGCCACGCAGCTCACATCGCTCCGCAGCCTCAGTCCGTTGCACCGTCACCCAGAAGGTGTTCACTGTGGGGAGAGGGATGCTCAGGGGAGGGTGAAGGAAGCCACATCCCCAGCTCCAGGCGAGGTCTCGCCCTGCCTGCCCATGCCCCAGTGATGGGACAGCAGCAGGACAGGCCCCACAGAAGGTGGCCCAAAGTCAGGGCAGCAGCAGGTCCCACCTTCATCTCTCGAGTAGTAGATGGAGTTCACAGCCATCTCCAGGGCTGACGGCTCCCCGCTGCCCTCTCTGCCACGCCGGGCTGCCACGCCACCATCGCTGGGGCCGTTTCCCTGACGAGGGAGAGTAGATCAGCCCCTGGGTCCCCCAGCAGCCACTGCCCTCCCAGCCCCACAACGCCTGGGCCCCGCCACCCTCTGTGAGGGACCTACCCCAGCCCCACACAGCTTGGCCGTCCTGAAGCCATACCAAGCCTTTCCCTGCCCAGAGGTGGTGACAGACCCCAGGGCCCCTCCCCTAAGCCAACATGAACATGGATGAGCAGGGCCTGGCAACACAGGAGGGGCTTCCCTGGAGCTCCTGGCATGACCCTGGGCCCCAGCTGGGCCATGCATTGGACAGTGTGGAAAAAAGCAGTTCCTCTCAGACTCTGCCCTCCCATGTAGCACACGCCAGCACTGAGAGGCAGCCTCCTGCAGAGCAGCACCTGGGGGTCCCCTGTACCCACTCCACTGCTGCTCATCTGACTGCTATGGCCAAGCAGGTGCCCTGGTGCCGAGGCAGGGAACAGCTCTGCTTCCTTATCAGTGTGTCCCAGCACAGACAACATCAGCGCCCACGGCATCGCATGGGCCCAGACACGCTTTCCCAGTGGTATGAGCAAGGGAAGGGGCTGATGGGACAACCCAGTAACGCAGGAGCCTGTGTCCTGCTTCTGCACAGGCAGGAAGGTGGTGCCAGTGTCAGTGCACAGCCCGCAGAAGGGAAGCAAGCACTTCTATTTTAGCACATGCAGAACTGAAAGTGCAACGCACACACTCTGTCAGAGACCGTGTCTCTGCAGCAGGGTCCCCAAAGGGCCTTTGTGGGGGATACACCCTCGGTGCTACCACTGAACAGCAAAGATCCTCTGCCAGGGAAACCCCACGCGAATCAAAGGCTCACAGATGTCCTGCAAGAGCTGCTTCAGCAGACCTCGCACCGTTTCATGAGGGTCTGTATTTGGACAGGAACTGGAAGCTGTTTCTCAGCATCACGTGGGATGGATGGGGTTGCAGCAGAGCGTACGTCTTGCAGAAGGCAAGCTGTCACAGTTTCAGTTTAAAACCCAGACACATGAGCTTCTTAACAAGAGGCAAGGCTCAAAAAGGGCCATCAGGCCCTCTTGTTTGTCTCCTAAATAGAATATGGACTGCTAAAACCTAGTGTCCTTAATGTTGACAGCAGCAGCTCCTGCTCAGCTAAAGCATCTAATGCAGCGGGGTTCCAGCCTGGGATCGGGAAGTCAAGGGCTATCCGATGTGCCAGAGCCCTTTAGGGCTCCATTTTACTGCACTTTCCCTCATCTTCAAAAGAAAAACAAATTCTGTTCCGAACTCCAAACTCTCTCTGGCCCCAAGCTACCAGACACTGCCTACCCTCCAGGCAGCAACAAAAAACACGACACAAAAACATGATGTCCATGTGGATGACCAGAAATCACAACTCAGGATCTGCAGCTTTTTGCAGAGAGGCCACATGCAGCTCCTGCACCTCTTGCTCCAGGTCACACCTTTCTAGAACACTAGAAAGAACACTTTCTAGAACAGTCATCCCTGTTGCCTTTTGCTCACTGCTTCCTAAAGTGTCAGCTCACTTCTGGACCTCAAGCACACAACTGAGAGCTACCGTGTAAGGAAGGGATGAGTACATCCCTGCTCCAAGCAGATGTTCCCCTGCCATGCCACTACCCTGCACCACGCCAAAGGCACGTGCTGTGTCCCCAGCTCAGCCCCGCAAGCCATTTCCAGGACAGAGGCTGCAACAGTGTCTGCACCAGACATGGGCATGGATATGGCGTAATTTCCAGTACCATGCCCGTGCCTCTCGGCCTGATCAGCAGGGCACGTGCTGCACAGACACATTTGGCTTGACGGCTGACTG